TTGAAGTTATAGAAACACGTGTAGCACGTAAGAGAACAGAGCAATAATCCGAAGAATCTGAGAACTAGAGGATTAATATTAATATACAGAATAAACCCAAACTGACAGAAAGAGACAAAAGGGAAACTAGAAAGAGCCAACTGCAGAGAAATGATTGAATAAGGTTGGAAACAGAGGGAATGGGAGAAAGAGTGAAAGACACCCTACGAAGAGAAGCCAACTCAGTGTTGTCGGTGCAACTTGCAGTGCACTGGCTGGAGAAAGAAGATGGCAGAGGTTCAGAGTTAACACACTGGCTCTAGTTTATCTCAGTAATGCTTCATCTGACTAAATAGCTGACAGGAAGGCAGCAGAGCTCGCACTGACCTCAAGTGACTAAAACAGTTATTGTAGTTTATATGTAGGGCTGCACAAGTCATCACGTTCTATCTTGATTTCAGCTTTGATCATTCATATAAAATCATGATTTATCAGTGGTATTGTTACATTTTATTTAGTAAAGAATGTAAAAAGTGTCTGGAAACAGTTTCTAATACAAGATTAATAAAGGAGAATGATTTTGTTCCCCAACATCACCGAGGAAAACAATCATGTATCAACATCATGATGTCAAAGTGTAATCAGGATGGTCATTTTAGTCATAAATGTGCAGCCCTGATCAATAATTATAACAGAAGCTTTTTCTTATTCTAACTGCTGTTGTCTCTGACTGGATTGTCTGTTAGATTTGACACTAAAAAACGTATTGTGCAACTACATTAGAAGCATCAATCTGCCGTCCATCTGTGTGTGTTTGTGCTTTACTTTGTGTGACTGCGCCCCCTGCTGGAGCTCATTCACACGTTGAACTGCCTAGGATCTGTTAGTTAGACTCCAGTGCTGTTCCTCAAAGTGACATGCAGCAGGCTAAATGAAGCACACTCTTGGTGCTGATGGTCAACAAGTGCTCCTCGTATTCTCTCAGCTACGTACAAAAGGCAGCCATTCTGCACTGACAACACAGAGTCTCATAGAAAAGCATGCGAGATAATCTTCAGCACATCATCATCATCATCATCATCATCACTGTCAACATCCTCATAGTCATCCTCATAGTGCCATTATCATTCTGATCATCATAATAATCTTCATTATATCATCTTGAGACAAAAATAGTCATATGCACTTAAAAAAGCTGAGAAAACAGACAGAGAAAGGTCGAGTATACCAGCATTCAGTAGAAAATGAGAACTCAAATAAAAAGGAAAACACCCAAAAAACAAGTGTCCCGTTGACTGTCATGCAAAGAAAATGCCAGCTACGCTGCTAGTTAGTTGCAGTTGTGTAATACTGTGAACTCCCTCATTTTAAATATGTGAATCTTATTATATTGATTTTCAAGGCTAGTAAACACACTAAGAAGAACAGAAGAACAACACCTTTGTACTGTACATGCTGCTTTTTCTTCTTTTTTTCAGAGGGGGGTGGGGGTCATGTTTGGTTAGCACGATCACGCATGAACGCTTTCAGGTAACCTTTGACCTTTTAGTATTAAACAGGGCCAACTAGGCATTAACACTGTTACTGGATGAGACATGAGTACGATACAATGACTCAGTGGTTCACCTTTAAAAAAAACCCTTCATTTGAAAAAAAGCTT